ATTCTCCAAGAACTGAGTTACTCACCTCAGATATTTTTCTTTGAGAAATCACTGGTAAAATAAATAATAAATTTTTAAGCTATCATTCCCAACACTGCAAGCAAGTATTGTGCAGTCCAAAAGAGAAAACAGTGAAACATTCTTTACATTTATTCTTTGAAAATAACAGAATTTGACTGAAGGGAATAAATATTACAAATTACTATTTTATAGTTGTGTATACAATATATGCCAAAATTGCCTCAGCTTGGATGGATACAAAATGCAACTTACAGGTCAATAGATTGTTAAAAGATGTTAATAGATGGGTTTATTGCAATGCTCGATAAACCAAGAGACTTGATCCAACCATCATGCAAACTAGCTACAGTGTACAAGTTTACTTTCTTTAACAGCATCAGCCAGAATGGCCGGCAGCTCTACCACATTCCAACTTAAAAGCAGATTAGTAAGCCTCTTATAAAACGTGGCAACCTGCTCTCTTGAGGGCATGTGAGGAATCAGGCTTTGCTAAAGATGAACTCTGTACATATGATCTCAGAAAACATAATCTTGAAAAAAAACAAAAAACATACGATTTTCTTCAGGGTATGTATGTTTTGGAGCTTTTCCAGAGTTTCAGTTGTTGTTTGTGCATGTTTTTCACTATAGGAGGTTCTCTGCTGGAGATGTGCTCTAACAGCTTGACAAATGAGGAAGGGGTGTAATAGCAGTTTTCTATAACACAGAGAAGGCGGTGCAGGATGCAGAATGTATGCTTTTTGGATAAATTATTAAAATGTATGTGAATACATTCATGTTAGAGAGGGGCATGTAAAATAGAACAAAAGTAATAGGCTTGAATCCAAAAATATATGTCTGAAAAGCTGGCAATTTTTACAAAAATACACATACAGCAATGCAGGGGTAAAGTCAAGAGGAGAGGAAGAATTAAAAGAATCTTATTGACCAATGATTTTTTTTAAACCTAAATAGTAGTGCAAGAGATTTAATTGGTTTGAAAAAAAAAAAACTCATATTAAACAGTAAAGGATCCAGCCAGATGTCGGTACTGCTATCGATTTTCCATCAGTCCTACTCCCTTAGCTGTCGCGTTATGTATACAGCTATGAGTACAATGAATGTTAATAGTGTTTAAATCTGGAGAGACACACAAGAAGAAAAGCTGCAATCAGAAAATTCAATTCAATTCTATTTATTTACACAGCACCAACCCACAACACCTGCCACCCCAGGTTACTCCACAGAGATCCCCTAACCTGATGACCTAGTCAGATTAGTCAAAAGTTTTCTATCTAAGGAAAACCAGCTGATTGCATCGACTCGTTGAATCTTCAGCAATCCTTAACACAGAGCATGGTTGCAAGTGACAGTAGAGAGGAAAACTCCCTTTTAACAGGAAGAAACCTCCAGTAGAAACAGGCTCAGTGTGAGCGGCCATCTGCCGAGTCCGACTGGGGTTCAGGGAGACAGAAGAAGACATGCAGACTTGAATTACTTGGCACTCAGGTGCCGGCACAAGACTTTGATGCTGTGAATTGACATTTGCTTGCAGAGTAACCCAGGATAAGGATTAGAGTAGTCTTACCCCTCGGGGGCCGGAAACTATTGGTGGAATAAGCCAGAGGGTGAATGGGACTGAGAATAGTAGGTAGGTGAAAGGTGCTGCCGTGGGGGAGAGATTTAGACCAGGAGATAAATGAAGGAGATCTTGAAAGATGATTTGTTTTGAGGGAATGCTCAAGTGGTTCAGGTGAAGATGATAAGTCTTCTAGATTGAACTTTTGCTTAAGCTTCATAATATCTGTTATCTGCTACAATATTTATTATCTTTAACCTATATAGTAAAATTCCCCCATCATGTCTTAATTGAAAACCTGCCTTTCCATTTGTGCGGTGAAAATAATTAACAAATCCTGAAAGATAAGCAAATATAAGGTAGAAATTGTTGTAGTTCTCTTCTATATTTACATGTTAAATTATCCTTAAGCTCAGTTCTGTGTGTTTGTGCCGCAATGTGCCACTGTTCTGTGAAAGAGGTACACATCCCGTTACTTGTTCATATAGTTTTTGTGATATCTAACTAATCTTACCTATTTAAACATAAATAGAAGTGATCCATTAAGGATTACAGTCAATAAACCCAGTATGTTCTGTAAAATGATGAACAATAGCAGAGGTTTTTATGCCTGTTTTCAGTTGGTATGTTGACTTTTCATTCCAGGAGCTAAGTCTTTATTACTGTGGACAATGCTCCCTTCAATGTATTTAGTTTTCCTACAAAAGAAATTGGCTAGCTCCAACTTAAAAGTGCAATAATATTAAGAAAATCATTTAATAAATGGGGAAAATACTCTGAATCAATTTGCAGTGAGAATAGCATTACTGGACATTTATCAGTTTTAAAGGAAAAGTCCGGTCATATTCAGAATTCAAACTTCAGAAAGTACTTTAAATATGAAATTATTACTTACTATTCAATTAATGATAAGTGTTTTTAATTAAGAGTAATTTCATTTGAATGTTCTTTACCCGAGACATCCATGTTAGTCAAACACTAATGCCACCGACCGGTTTCTGACTTCACGGTACAGTATCGGCTGTTGTCCCAGTGCTGTATCTGGTGTTTGTCACAACGCCCCATTATACAAATCATCTTGAAAACATTCTTTTTTGAACTGTTGGCTACATATTAATTCTTTCTCTGGCTGGAAGTTCGATGGCATATCCTCCCTCTTCAAGTTGGAAATCCAACGACCAGCACCGCAGTAATTTCAATGGTGAAGTCCTCTCAAAATCTTAAATCATTTTTGATGATATCAGGTGTGTCTATTAGTTCCCACAGATTTTGCTTGTAAAGCGGGGAGAATGGCGCTAGGCTTACCACACCGTGACGTCACTGCCAGAACATGTCAGGAGTGAGGTGTTACTATATTTGGGCAAAAATGGCCACTCCCAGAAAATCATAAGTTTAATTTTTTTACTGATTACCCTAAACTCATTAAAGGCACACTATGCAACATTTTTCAGTTAAGTAATGTGTTCCATATCGTTTTGGATGATTAAATGAGTAATTTCAGGTTGGACAAAGGTATTCTCGGCCGCCCTGGTGGTCTGTGGGGGAAATACCGCACTTGCAATTGCAGGAGCACCGACCCGCACCCATAGGCTCAGAAGTCTCGCAAGAGTCNGGACATTTATCAGTTTTAAAGGAAAAGTCCGGTCATATTCAGAATTCAAACTTCAGAAAGTACTTTAAATATGAAATTATTACTTACTATTCAATAAATGATAAGTGTTTTTAATTAAGAGTAATTTCATTTGAATGTGCTTTACCCGAGACATCCATGTTTGTAAAACACTAATGCCACCTACCGGTTTGTGACGTCACGGTACAGTATCGGCTGTTGTCCCAGTGCTGTATCTGGTGTTTGTCACAACGCCCCATTATACAAATCATCCTGAAAACATTCTTTTTTGAACTGTTGGCTACATATTAATTCTTTCTCTGGCCAGAAGTTCGGATTACCACACCGTGACTTCACTGCCAGGACATGTCAGGAGTGAGGTGTTACTATATTTGGGTAAAAATGGCCACTCCCAGAAAATCTTTATTTTTTTACTGATTACCCTAAACTCATTAAATCTCCGCAAACATATCAGTTCTAGGTATAAATAATGATCCATTGATTATTTCTTGCTGACCAAACTTTTCATTTAATATTGGTAAAGGTTTTGGGGTTTTTTCAACTGCAATGTAAAGAAATATAAAATGGTTAACATTCTGAACCAATGTAAGTTAAAAATTCTTAATAATCCCAGCATATTAAGTTATGATATTTTTTCATTCAGACGCCAACATTGTTGTTTTGATAGGAAATCATCCAAAAGGTAATGAAGCCTATGAAAGGGGGAATCAGTCTAGAATAGTAAACATTTGAGTTTGATTTCCTCTATATTTTAATACAGAAAAAGGATTGACAAGAATTATGTATAGCTTTCTGAATAATCTACTTGAAAATATCCATTGGTACAAAAGTATTAAACCCTTCCAATTCCTATTCTTAGTTTTAATTTTAAAATGTTAAGTTAATTACATTTTTTTCCAATTAATAAGGATTATCATATCAAAAAGGAAACTACACATCATTTTGTCTCCTATGTTATGGGTGGCAGCTGTTATAAAACTGGAGTTAATAAGCCAGAGATGACTGGTTCCCTCTCAGACTTGGCCTGAAACTTTACGCTGCCTCCTGTTTTGTCTGGAACTAAAAGGTGTGAGCAAGGTTGTGAACTCACCTCGGAGGGCAGGGAGTAGAGAGCGATCTTTCCTCTCATCACATTTGTTGCATTCGCTGAAGTACAGCAGCAAGAACACGTCAACCAGCACCCACACTAAGGAGGTGGTCAACACCACCTTGCAGTAAACAAACCGCCGCATCACCTCTGGGAAGTCAGTCAGTCAGCCAGACAAGAGGGATGGAGGCGAGGACCTTGGATGTCTCAGACAGCTGGAGACGTGTTTGATCACCGGAGGTGGGGGAAAGCATGGAGGGATGAGACGGAGCAGGTATGGCCAGGAGACATCATCCTACAGGATGAGGAAAAGAACAAATTATATCTGACAGTTTTTTTTTTGTTTTTTTTTACTTAAAAATATGTTAAAGTGATAAACAACAGCTAAAAAACAGGAACAAATATTGAAAAAAAGAAATTAATCTTAAAGATATTTTATGCATTTTTATCCAACACCCTAGAGTCAATATTTTATAGAATCATGTTTTGTTGCAACAGCTTCACACAAACAAATGCAGTATAGTTTAAAGACCACCGGTAATTTGTATTTTAGTTTATAATTGTTTATGGACCAGAAATACTTTGGTGAATGTTGTTCTGTGCATGTGTGGTTCTTGTGTGCATGTGTGAATCGTTCTGTGCATCTTTGGATCTTGTCTTTTGTGTGTGTGTGGATTTTTTTGTGCTTGTGTGAATCTTTCTGTGCATGTGTGGATCATTTCCTGTGCATGTATTTGGGAAAAATGGGACCGATCATAGTGCAGCAGCATTCTTCAAGATGTACAGCAGCATGTGTTGTCCCACTGTAAGATAACAGACTCTCCCACTTGATTTTGCATCTCTGCAGTTTGTCTAGTTTCCTCCTGGGTGCTTGTCTGATAAGTGCTATCCTAGCCAAACAGTTTGGTTTATAGCTATAGCTTGAGAAGATGATGGGTGAAAACAGATCTCTGTTGAAAGACACTGTTTTTATTTATCGTAACCCTGCTTTAAACTTCCCTACAGCTTATCTTTTGACCTAACTGCTACAGTATGCTCCTTGATTTTCATTATGCTGTTTCTTCTATAATGTTCTAGAAGTTACCTTCAACGCCTTCAAAGAACAGCTGTATTCACACTGTGACTAAAATAGGGGGAGTCTTAAAAATAATCAAATGACCTCTAAAGGCATTTAGTTAAACTGGATTTTATTCAGGTGTATCAAATGTAATGGCATTGAATACAAATCCAAACCCAACTTTTTGGTTTTGAGCCTTGAAAAATAATTTTCTTTTCATTTCAGATATGTGCTACTTTGTTTTGTTCAGTAACATAGAATTCAAATACAAAAACAGTCACCACTCTGATTAAGTCTCAGGGTTTGTGACACAGCTCAAATCACGAATTATGGGTCAATACAATTCATGTCCATACAATTCATGTTGTGTGCAATATTTGTTTGTATAGGGGTGTGGTTCTTTGTTGTTTTGGGGTTGGAGGGAATCATTATCTTACCTCTGGTATAGAGCAAAGCCCTAACCAGTGCAGCTGGGAGACAACTAATTTTCCTACAAGGGCAATGATGTGTATTCTATTTTATTCAAATACATATACAGAGTAACAATTATCCATCTTATTTTTTTTTATTTGTTTCTTGATATTTTCATATATTTCTAAAAACCTGATTTTGTTTTCCTTCTGTAGGTCAAACCCAGCTCCCCATTAGTTTCTGTGCAAAGCTAATGTCACAATTAGGAGGGCAGAACACTGCTCACCTCAGTTTGTTTGGCAGAGACAAGCCTGTATAATTAGAGAACAAGGCAGATAACTGTGCCGAATGCCAAAACAGGTGGATGGAGCATGTTCAGTAATGTGAGGGGATCACAGCTTTTGGCAAAAGCAGAACAATGATGTCCAATCAGGCCAGAAAAATAGGGAGAATTTTTGTCCAAGTCCAAATGGCAGATGAGTCTATGAAATACCAATGTTAAGCTTTTCAAATGCAAAACCATTTAGTCATGGAAAACAGCTATAAACTTTGTGTCGCTTTAGATAAATATATGACTTCTCAATGATGATTGTAAATCCCTCCTGGAGATGTTGTTCACCAAAAACAGCCAAAGAATCATGCCATTTTTAAGCATTTTTTTTTAGCATAGCTGCTAAACCCAGACTAACAATAACATTTTATAGTAAAATTTGGAAATATTGCATTCAGTGAACAAAAACCAAGCTTTTATTTTAAAAAGGAGAGCAGAAACAGAAATGTAATACATTTTCTTAGCAACCCAGAACCCTTTTGAATTTAAGTGACCATTATTTATTCCTCTCTGCTGTTTTGAAAGGATGGGATTGGATTATGTTTGTTTCTTCCTAAAAGTCTTCCTCTAGTTCATCAGAAGTGCTGGAACAACCATGGGAAGCTTTCATATCAAAAGCAGTTTGTGTAGGTTAGAAATCCTCTAGTAAAGAACCTGGGCCTCCCATTATTTTCTGATAAAAATTAACAAAACTTTCCTTCAAACAGGATTTCACTTGGTGAAAATTATAGGGTTTTGTTGAAGCATAAATAGCACAGAAATAGAAGAACTAAAAAAATCTTTCCCCCATCAAACATCATGTACACATAATAATAATCTGATGTTTTTACAGTGATTAAAATCATATAGAGCCAAACAGGCTTTTAGCTAGGAACATTTCATAGGGTGTACACCTTGGTGTATCACATTTTTAGGCTTTGTGAGGCGGGTATCCTACCCTGGAACATTTTGAAATATAGACTCTCTGAAATGCTATTTCCTGCAGTTTTAGGTGGAATGCAGCTAACTTTTTGTCTTTGTTATAACACTGCTTTTCTCCTGATTATGGGAACTGTGTGTGCTTGACGAGAGGTGGAAATTTCATGAGGAAGACATGATAATTTTTAGGTACAATAATATGTTTCATAGGTTAATTCAAATAATCAGAAAGTATAATGCTATGTTGACATCGTGATTTGAGCAGCAAAAAACGTTTTGGTGCTTGTACACAATAAGGTCAGGTCCACTAAAGTATGTCCAGATGCGTCTGATGCTTCTGCTGCTCCTGTGTTCAATGGCACACAGCTGATTTGCTATATTTGCTGGGTAATGGATAAAAAGTAGTTTTAATATATTTTTATGCGAGAAAGTCCACATAAAACATCATCTGTGAAGTCAGTTCATCAAGATTATGATCCTGCCTTAAAATGTTATTTTCAATAAGTTTAACGTGCGCACGAAATACTTATTAATAATATCAAT